GTTTCAAACCCTTGATAAGACCCTTGTATTTATCCGGATTGACCTAAACAACAAGAAATTGCCAATTGAGCACCGTTATTGGATCTTTTAAAAGAAAATAGTATATTCGAATTTAATTATATAAATTAGTCGAACTTTTTATTACAAATATTGATGATTTAGCTTGTTTATTATGTGAACAACGAATCGATGATATATCAGCAATTATTCTAAATTGTTTAAAGATTAAATTGGAATGTCGTGAAAATTATTAGTACTTGGTTTTACAAATGAAAAAATTGTATTAGACAAGACTACAACAAATTTAACTTAAATGACTATGTTTAAACAAGGCTATTTTAATTTGGTTGCACTAGAATAGATTTACTATCTTTTCTAAACGTTAATGATGACGTGATTGTAGAAATTCATGCAGAGTGAAATTTTCTTTCTAAAATCAGATAACTCTGAGTTTTCTGTCATCTATGCCGCTTGCGGTTTGAACGAAGAATATCTGAAACATCGTTTTTGAAGCATGAAAACGGCTAATAGTCAATATTAGAACAATGCGACTCATTTACTGTAGTTTTCAAGTATCGTTCTGTTCAGTGACGTAGCCACAGGGGGTTTGTGGGGATCGATCCCCCTAAAAAAGAAATTTTTCCTATCAATTTCTAAGGTCATTGTTTTTTAAATATCAGAAAAGCATTATTTGAATATATGAGTGAATTGCATTGGCATTGTACCGTTGCTGTCTTAAAGCAATTATTATGTTCATTCAGAAGTATGGTCTTAGCATTGAGAAGCTTCGGGGTATGTCACTGATTTTAATTAGGAAACCTTACTATTAATAGCTTTGTGTATTTTTAGGTCAAGGATACGATGGTGCGAATGTTGTTACTGGTAAATTAGATGATGTTCAAAAATTAATAAGAGATATTGTGCCACGTGCTATTTATGTCCATTGTGCAAATCATTCGTTCGACTTAGTTCTGGCCGAAGCTTGTACACTTCAGATAATCAAAACGTTTTTTGGAATGGTCAAGGCTGTTATTACACTTACTAATGCTTCACCAAAAAGACAAACAATGTTAGCTAAAGCTATTGAATCAACTAATAATGAAACGAAACGTCGACATCTTATTAAATTATGTGAAAATCGATGGGTCGAAAACAAACATCAATTACTGTATTTAAACAAGTTTATTTCGGTATTATTGTTGCTTTAGATTATTTAATTGAAAATGTAAGTTTTATTTTATTTTATTACTAAACCATATGCTAAACAGTTTCAAAAGCCAACATGTGATATTGTTAAATGTTATCAAAGTATAGAACAAGTCTCAATATATATAGCTGAATGAATTTATGATGATGATCAATTACATGAACTTTATAATGAATTTATTACATTTATTGAACCTAATGAGATTGATAATCGTTTATTACGAGCAGCATGTCGCCGTTATCAAACAGTCAAAGATTATTTTGTAGACGTAAGGAATTTTTACATATGTTTATAAACAATTCCATTAACACAAAACTTTTTGTCTTCTAGGCATACAAAACATTCATCAGCATGACGACTGAAGAACTTGGAAGAAGATTTACCGAACATCAAAGGATTGCTATGAATATCTCAAATTTAATCCAGTTATATATTGTTAATACTCGATTTTCCGATGTTTTAACATTATTCAATCATTACAAAGATGATTTACAGACTGATGATTCTAGTATTCACAAGCCTGAATTCGACACATAGAAATTTTCAGTTCTGCAAATGCAAGAAGATGAACGACCAAGTACAATCCATGAAACATTAAAAATTATGCAACCTGTTAAATTCATTTATCCAAATATTTACATTCTACTTCAACTTTATGCACTTATTCCAGTGTCCGTAGCTGGTGCAGAGCGCTCATTTTCTGTCTTGAAACTAATCAAAACGAAACTTCGCAATCGAACAGTGATCACCGACTGAGTGATTTAGTTGTTATCAGTATTAATAAAAACGTCGCTCAAGAATTAAATATTGAAAATGTTATTGATGAATTTGCCAAATCCAAACGTAAAATAAATTTTACGAATGAACCAAATTAATTGTTTTACTCATCATGTCTTTTCTTTCTTTCGATTTTCTTCTTGTAAAAGTTATAGTCATATATAAGTCTAGATAAGCAAGAATAAATTCTAAAAAATTCACTAAGATAAAAAATACTCCTATGGAAAATCAACGATTTTTTCGATTTTAGATCGATAAGATGAAATTTGATCTCCCCACTCCAAAAACCCTGGCTACGTCACTGGGTGTACAACACATTGGAAAATAAAATTCACCTGATCTTTGTAAAGCTTTCACCTTACGTTTATTAAGTGCGTAAAAAGAAAACAAAAGATCACAAAATTTTCAAAGGGAAGAGAACACTAAAAAGAATAATGGAAATGAGCGGTTCCAATGCGGCTTCGGCTTGTTCTCTAAGAGTCCGTCAGTGGAGGGTTTTCAGCAAAATATTCATTATTATCTGCGTTCTGAACTGCTAAAGTCGGATGCTGCTTAGCCAGTTTTTCACACTTCTTCTGGCCGTATGTAGCCGCATTATCACCGGTATTCGCAATATCATCTGTACCAGCAACGACAAGAAAATGAGTTATTTCGTGAATAAGTGCACCACCTTGCGAATCTGGTCCAGACACTGACGCTTTGAAGAATGTGTTGCATAGATTGTAGTAGTAGGGTATATCCGGGTAAACGTAGGCGAAGGTACTACTTCCACACTCGCCAACGTCAATGATTCGACAAAAGTATTTCTGCGGCTTGTTGTGAAGAACATCTTTTATGTTGATGAAGTGATCCGTGACTGCACTGTAGTGTTCTTCCTGGATAACTGGACTTCTTTCAACATCACCACCTGGTAAACCGAACCATCTGGTGAATCAAAGCGCTGTTTCCTTTAATATGTGATTAGCCAGGAAAAGTTGTGTTTGCTTCGTATACTCTTTGGCTTGTGCGATAGCAGCTTTGATGGTGGCTTTCTGCTCGTCAGTACATTCGTCACTGAAGGTGATCCGAGGGGACGCAGCGGTTTTCTTTTTTGAACTGAGCAGAAGACGACGTCGAGCTGCTTCTTCCAAAACTGCATTGCTAACGCCATTGACTTGGAGTGTCAGGATGTTCGACACGATAGTTGCCTTAGCAGCAGCAGAATGAGTTTCCAGGACACCATGAACAAACTTCTGGTATCGAATCTTGTACGCGCCACTGGCACGTAGATCGTAGTAGGGGCTGAGCGAGACGACAAAATTCAAACTCTCGCCTGATGCCAAGGAGATAGTCGCGTAAACTGCTGCTGCACTGAGTTTAAAACGAGGCCCAACGTAGGATACTTTCTTGCCATGGAGAATGAGGTGGAGCAGAGGTGTTAGCATTTTGCCGTTGGACGGTACGGCAATCCGATAGATGTAGAGGGTTGTTTGTCCCGTGTTGCTGAATTGTAGGTTGACTTTGACGTCGTCGTCTTCTTTCGTTACATTTGAGGTGGATATGCTCGTTAAACTGACGCTCAAGCCACCACCGTTCCATTATTACCGCCGGTATCTCCCTCATCTGCCAATAACACCACTTTTCCACTGACAACTGCTACTGCACAAATTAGTGCCAAACTGATAAGCTCCGTCGACTTGTTGCTGATCATGATGAGCTTTGATTCTTGTTCTTCTTTACCCTACTGTTGTTATATTTGAGAAAATCGAATGCGAATGCTGCTCTTTTTTTACAGTAAAAACTAGGGCATTCAAGCGGAGAGTGAAATATTCTCAAATAGTCTTTCTTTCTGTGTGCGTGTGTGTGTGTTTTGATATCCTTGAAGTCGCATTTTCCACTACTTACTTTCTTTGTTGTGTGATAACCAAGCTTTGTTTTCTTTTTCAATTATTTTTAGAATATTCTCTTTTAAGAAAAACGAGAAAAAAAGTGCGTACCTTCCTACTGACAAGTTTTCTCTCGGACTAGCCAGAATGTTATAGGACGTGTCGGAGACGGAGAGGTTCGCTATGCTGACACTAATTTTTTCCGTGCTTTCGTACTTCACTAGTTCTATTTCGTTTTATTTATCTTTTCGTCAACAGAATAGAGCAATATATAGATGCTAGCGTCGTACTCGTAAGATAAAATGGTGGAGTAATGACGTTAGTGCAAAATTTGAGTAGTTTGGAACTGTTTTAGCACAAATAACACTGAAACTTTTGAAGAAACACATTACAAATGATTTATCCCGGAAACGAAACGCTTTTTGGCAAAATGACGGTTTCTTATGGCTTTTCTTTTTATCTTTTTTTCACTTACACAAAGACGCTCTTACTAAAGAGAGAAAATCAAAGAAAAAATTCGGATGCGCAACTTTGTTTGCGCGTTTTTGATGCACAGCTTTGTTTGCGAGTTTTTGATGCACAAACTTTCCCAAGGAATGTTTGCGCTGTTTTATGCTAACGGGGATGGCAAAGGATAGGTAGAAGAAAATTTTGGGAAAGTTTCATGGCGTTTAGACTTTCGCTAACCTTCGCACAGTGGGCATTTATTGCTAAAGCGGACTTAAGCTTTATGAGTGAACTAAAATTTCATGAACCATTTTTTTATAGGTTTTTCATGATCCTCTTTCTAATGGCATGAGAGTTGAGTTTTGAAACAGTTTTCTAAGGAGTTTTCCAGAGATCCGATCTCTGAAAAATTCTTCAGAAAACTTTCTCAATATTTAAAAACGATGCCACTGGAAAGAGCATTGTCGAAAACGTACAAGAAACATGTTTCGAGTCGTTCAGGTTACTTTATCTTGAAATTCAAATTTTCAACACGAAATTGTTTGTGTGAATCTCAAAAACTAAGAAATTTCTAGATTTCAAAATCGAGCGAGTTATACACCATTCAATGCAGTTTTTCACGCTGATTCCGAATATGACCTTACTTGCAAGAAAAGTGCTTTTTTGAGGGAGAAAACTGCGAAATACTCGATAATTCCTAGGGTTTTTGGAAAGCCTGTAACTCAGCACCCGTAGAGTTGGGAGACTTTGTAAGATCAGTATATGTAGAGGAGGTTGAGACGAACATTTTGAGCTATTTCTCATATCAATAGCTGCTCAGCGTGGCTTTTTAGATGAGTTCCGTGGAAAGGTCTTCGCGCGTTCCCCGAAATTTAACTTTGTTCGACGAAAATTTTCTTACGGTTAGATAGCCCAACAGATGGCGATTTTATATATGCCATTGTTTTTGAAAAAAACTTATAATTTGACGAAGAAAATGCAATTTTACGCGCCAGCATACTAATTCTACTGATAATTTTGTAATTTAATTTTCTCAATTTTGGAAGAAGCTAGAGCCAAAAACTTTTCCCCGT